CTTAGGGACATGGTTTAGTGGGCATGGTGGTGTTGGGTCGATGGTTGGACTCGATGATCTTAGAGGTCTTTTCCAACCTCAATGATTCTATGGTTCTATGATTCTATGAATTAAGTATCTGTCTAATTTTTTGCCATGGACATGTAAAAACCTTAATTACATACTTTAGGAACCATAATACAGTTAGCACATGTATTATATCCATCTTTAAATATATACATAGTATATATAGTTTCTCAAACATTAAATGCATTTCTTTGAAAATCCTTTTATAACATTCAAAAAATAAGATGCTTCAACAGCAACTTTTGTGAGATCTACTGCACTAACTATAGCAGCTTTAAACCTGACTGTCTCTTTGTAGACCCCACATTCGTCTTTAATTAAGGCCTGCTAGACCACAAACTATAGGTTCACTTCATTCAGCAATTCTCTTCAGATTCAAAACAGCCAAAACTTATTTTACACAGAATTTCTTATTTCTTTGCCTTTCCACATTAGAATCTCCAGTCATTTTAAATTTTTGCAGTGCAGAGTAAATATGGACCTATCTTACCTTCCATGTGTTCCACATAGCAATACACATCATAAGTTTCATTAGGAAAACGGCGCCCATATGTTCTGACTCCTTTCTTTCCCATTTTATCTCCAAAGCAGCCAATTCTTGGATGTCTAATTGGATACCTGAAATGCAGCATGCTCATATTTATTATGGTGATAAGTCAGCATTTTAAGTCTGTACAGGCTAAGCATATTAATTTTGGGAAACTGTGTCAAGGGGCCTTTTAAATGGCTCACCTAACAGTCTGGTCAGACAGCCAGCCAGCATCACATTGCTCAAATCCATCTTCATAGGCTGCTTTCAGTTGTTCTGGGCTTGCTATGACAGCACCGTTGTCCAGACAAGTCTGCTGAGCTTGTGTAAAATTCAGAGTGTACCTGCTGGTTGCTGCACGATAGTGAAAAACAACACCTGAAAAGACAGAAAACTTACATTAGTGACACATTTTGCACCGTTTCTGCAACCATCATCATACTGTAACTTTACATAGGTATTGTTACAATGCCGGAAACAGATGGGTACAATAAAAATAGTAAAAGGCTAAGAGATATGCTATTGTATAAATGATGTCCCCCCTCTGGTGGCTGCTAGCAGTAATTATGTAACAGCTTCTGTTATTAATAGTTGGTGAAATTATATTCACTGTACACACAGAAAAAAGTAATTAAACCATATATGCATTTTCAATTCTGTATTACAGAAAATCGTGATCAAAAGGGAGAATGAATGCTAAAATATATCAATGATACCACATAGTTACCTGGGCTCTTCCAGGTCCAAGTGCTGGTCAGCTAATTGCACTGCAGGCAAGGTTGCTTATGCTAACAGCGCTACCTGACCTGTTGGCTTATTGGCCTACATGACACATCCAACTGTGAGTCAAACTGTGTGACCAGACAAGATTAAGCGCATCTAGTCCACGGAAAAAGTGGTCTTAAAAATAGACTTTCCGAAGCAGCCAGCTGCAGTAACTGCACGCAGAAATGCCAACAGTGAATGGGGGATCCCTTGAGTGCTTGAGGTCTGCTAGCTGCAGTGAGACATGTGACCAACGGGGACACCAAAAAAATTGTGCTTTTGATGCAGATTTGATAATCGGTGGTGGCCCTGATATCTGTTCCTATGCAGACAAAGCTTACTACAAATATAACGTTTATAAATACATGGCTGTTGGTCAATTATTCATAACCATGTTTTCCTGCACACACTACAAATGAAACAGACAAAACAAAGCTTGCTTTTATTTGGGGCCTTTCTGGTTCTGGAAAGAATCTCGACAATTTCAAAGGTTACTTGAGCACGTCAGAGTTAAGCTGGTTTTGGTTAAGACAGGATCTGTCTAGAAGCCACATTCTGTTTTGTATATACACATAATTCCCGCTGAATTCGGCAACAGTTGCACATGCACACCTAAAACAAACCATAAAGAGCACCAACTCCGAAGTGGCAGAAAACAGATATTCCACCTTGCAAAATCACTTCCCCCCTATTGCCAGTGTCTTTTACAGTTTGGCATCAAAAGCATGTCCCCTGATGATCTCTGAAAAATAACATTCAACGTCACTTATTGCACTCTAAAATCTTTAGAAGCATTGCAACACCATAAAACATCCACTTACACAGAATGGCTACAAAGCAAGAAAAATAAACCCTAAAATGTTCCTTTTTTCTGATGATTTTATTGGAGTACTTCATGATGAGGAAATAACATACTGTAATACAATTTGGGAAAATGGTGGCATTGTAGCAATAATTAATTTAACAAGTCATTGTTATTAGAGCATTGTTGAAAGATGGAAGAAGTCTGCTAATTCATGAGTAAATAGAAATATGAGTAACTTAGTAAAATGTTGATTCAAGAGGTTCCAACGTATTTAGAAATATTTTTTCTCATGCAGACAAATTCTGTAAAATTTTACCACTTATCAAAGGTCTGGATATGCCCAATAAATAGAAAATACACATTTTTCTTCTTGTCGTGATTCACTAAGAAGGTTTCTGAAATTAAAGTAGAATACATTGTCTGAAAACTACTCACAGGTAGGTTAAACCTCAATCACCAGACACCAATTTTATCAAAGCTACTAGCAGAGAAACAGGAAATAGAAGAGGAAATGCTAGGAATCCTCATATTTCCTCATTTAATATGGAGTCACACACCAGCTGCAGCCACTACCTGGAAGCTTACAGACCACTAGCATCCCCATAAAATGCCTTTTCAGAACCAGTGACAGAACCCATCACGAGCAGTGCTTCTTCCAAGCAACGATGTAGTTTCAGCTTCAAATGGACCCAAGCGTTGTTTGGCAACAGTGACAAGTGAAGAATACACCCTGAAAAATTATGGCTATGTTTATATTACTAAATTAAATACGCCAGGTGCCTGCAATTCAGTCATCAAGACTGTTAAATTGTTAGATGAGTTCATTGCAGTATTTGGCCCAGGCCCCATAACACCCTTCCAAACAATTTCTGGGCAGACTTCAGGAGCTAGCGAAGACCAGGGACAACTCCCAGTGGGCATCTTCATCCTGTGCTGGGAGCCAAAGGAGCATGGATGGGGGCCGCACTGCTCCAGACAGCCGCGGTGCTGAAGCACAGCCTCAAGAACGTTTTCTTATTAATGTGAACTATCTGTACCAGGAGAGATTGAAAGGGAATGTCAGAGAGAGAGCTTTACTAGCTCCCGTGTCCCTGCACTTCCTCTGTTATAGGGCATCCTCCATTGCCTGGTTAGGGCACTTTTACATACTATTTACATTGTGTTAAGATGTGCAAAACTTTATTTATACATATATGTATAGATTTTTATAGATATATGTGTGTGTGTGTGTGCGCGCATATTTTGGCTTTGTGTACCCTAAACAACACAGTCCTTTACCACATGTCCAACACAGAGCACTGCCTTACAACATAAAAAGAGTTAGGCAACAGCAACTAATCACATTTGGAATTTAAGAGCTAAAAATAACAAAAATATGACTTGGAGAATTTTTTTTTAAAGCTGTGGTATGCATTAAAATATTTGTTTTAATATATTCAGAATTTAATAACATTGGTCGACACTGTGAGCAAGTTACCTGCTGGTATAAATGAGCATTACTATATTCAGTGGTACAGTAGTAAATAAAAACATGAGTTCAAGTGATCTGCTTGGTGTTCTGGGTCTAGAAATAAGAAATGAGCAAGTTTTACAGAGCTCACAACAAAAGCAGATAAAACACTTACCCTGAATCATAAGCATGAACCCATAAAAATATTCACAAGCTGGGCATCTGGCTTTCCTGCATGTTATTGTTGAATATTTACAAATATTTTAGACCTTTTTCTTTTTTTGTAGCATTGGTGTTTCTGTAGTATACAATATTTGACACTGACTCTACAACTCAGGGTGAAACCAGAAATGCCCAAGTATGTGAAGCAATTTGTTCATTTAATTTGTTGTTTTAATCTTAATTAAAATGTATTTTAGATGAATTTAGATTAATTGCCTCTTTTTTTGGTCTTTGGTTTGGTTTTGTTCTGGGTTTTTTTTTCAAGATTTCTTAACTGATGCTATATGACTTCAACTGGGCACAAGAGCACTGCTTCAACCACAAAACAGTTCATTAACTTAGCAGGAGATGGCAACATATTTCTCCGAACTCATATTTTTTTAAAGCTTCCTACTGCTTAAATACATGAGTGCATTCTCCACAACCAGCTCTCTCGTCTCTCATTTCTTCCATGCTGGAAGCAACCACTGCCCTTCCCAGCTGGCATACATTCGGAATTCCTGTGATACCCCAATAAGGCAGGACTAAAGAGTTAATATCACTGCCAATTTAAAGTAGCTTTTGCAGTGCTGAGAAGAGCCTTTGGTCATTTGTAAATCCTGGGAAGGAACTTGGAGAATGCTTTGTTCTCCTCACCCTCATCCAAAAGGTAAACTTCACCTATTCTTAGAGTTGAAGGCTCTTCCAATTCCAGTGAGGAGCCAATGGACATAAAAGAGCCTCCAAGATGAATGGGAAGGAGGACGCCAGTATGTATAAGCCTGTGCAACAGCTGCAATAATTAGAAGAACCCCTGGGGCTAAGAAGATTAAAGCGCAGGACTTTCATTGTTTCAGTTAGACAGAGAGAAAGGGGCAAAATCCATTGTCCGAGTTTTTGCACTTTAAAACATTTGTAAAGGATTTTTTTCCCTTTGTCTGTTTCCTCTCTGAAAGAAAAGGCAAGAAAGGAGTTGTCCTAGGAACAAATAAAGCAACTGGAAAACAGACTACAGCAGTATAATGTTGTCACTGAACATCTGGCAAACAAAGTCTGTGTAATTAGAGGAAGGAGTAGCAGTGTCTGCAAGAAAGCACTCAGAGGAAAGTAATTTGTAGCATCCAAAATTCACTTCTGTCTGAGCAAGAGAGAACGTCTTTTAATCATTTATCTCTGCCTTAGACCAGAAAAGAAAAGCATAAAGTATTTCAGTTTTAACAAACTAGGCCTTCCACGGGTAAAAGCCTGGTTCTGTGGTTTCACACCTTTGGGTTGCAACTTTGCCTTATTACTTGCCAGGGCATTGTGCAGCAAAACCCCGTGGAACTGCAGGGGAAGGGCTCCTGGTATGGCTAATAAATTACAGTTCACTTTCACTAGGGAGCTCACACTGCTGCAACATGCACTCTTGGAGTCACATAAAGCCTGAATCTCAGTTGTTTCACACAGCAAAGAATATCTAAAGAGAAAAGATTATGATGGTAGCAGTTGTTATTTTGTTAATTTTTATGTTCAAACCTTACACCGTGGTGCAGACCACTGAAATAACCGCCAACCCACTGCCAAAGCTACCACACAGTTTGGTGATCCTCCTTGCCTTTAATGCAGAAAACAATTTACATTACAAATATATGCCAAAATAGAGGTTACAGGACTGAGCACTGTATGAAAGGAAAGAAGAGGGCAGCATTTTCAGCTTCCTGCATGAATAATTCATTTGGTTCCTCATTCGAGGTTTTGCACCCATCTTCTGACCCCTGTCTTAGGCTTTGGCAACCTAAGAACAGGCTCCATGTGTATCAGCAGGAGCTCCCTTGCCAAATGCCTCAGGGAACTTCTCATCGTGGAGAGACAAAGTGCATACCAACCCCTCTGCTCTGTCAGCCCCGCTGCCTCCTGCTCTCCAAGGGACAGAGGCTTCTTGCACTAACTCACACGTTGCTCCTCCATGCAAAATCTTTGCGTCCATCCTCACAGAGCAACGCAGTTGCATGCAGGTGTATGCGAGCTCTTCTGACCAAGCTGGTCAAGAAAAGGAAAGTGATTGATACTGAGCTTCGCCTGTATTTTTCTCAGGGGAGGACTTCTTTACTAAATCTGTATTAATCTCTGAATACACAGTGGGATCACCTGTCCCAGCCCATTATCTCTGCACAG